ATTATTTCCCAGTCCATTATGTATTCACTTCATTTGTGGTAATTTTGAAAGTACACTTTAATCTGACAATATCGAATACAATTTTAAATGTGTAATAAGTAGTATATGCTGTGGCCTGTGACACTTTTACTCTTTCCAGCCACGAAGATGTTTTCTATTAAAAGCCTTATGACCTCAACTTCTATATGGTAGTGTATGGTAGAGGCCAAAGTTTATTTTGTCATATAGATATCCAGTTATTCCAGTATTATTTGTTATAAAGACATTGCTTTCTTCTCTGAAAAACTTCACTGACCTTGTCCAGGTTAGATGTTTGTACAAGTAAAAACATCTTGTTTATAAAACACGTTTTATTTCACCGTATCAGTTGTGAAACAGTGTCAATTCTGTCTTGATTCTTGCAGCTTTGCAAGAAATTGTTCAGGTCACTAACACTGTACTTAGTCAAGGCTGCCTTGGGTACTTAGGGATCGTTGCACTAGCAGCACAACCCAGAGAGAATGAAGCAACCACTGTAATATTTAAATACGTTATAGGTACCATAGAGACAATTAGAGCACCTAGTTTTAGTATGGGTGTAATAATTGTGGTTTAGCTATATAGCAATATTCCAGTATTGGAAGTTAGTTCATATTACATTACTGTAATTATTATAGAAGAGAAAAATCTAAACACATATTGTGAGGACTGTATTCTGTTTTGTAAAATGCTTTAAACTATGAGTAGATGGCTGACCACTGGAAAGTATAGCAGCAATTGATATTTGAAGTAGCAAAAATTCGTAGTTTCTTATTCCAATTCCTGTGTTGAATTCATTCATTAGGTTGATATGGCTTTTGCACATAGTAATTTGGTTTCAGTAGCTTATACTTTGATTTGCTACTTTGTTGCTCTTCGGGAGGAATTGGCATGATGAAACACTTTGCAGCAGCATGCTTTAAGTAAGGAATGCCATTCTATTATCCTGAAGTTTGTATCATATCTCCTAGAAGCACCAGCTTCTAATAAGTGCCTTGGAAATATTAACATGAATTAAATGTATAATTACACAATGTCCAACCTATTTTGATGAGTTGTCAAGGCTAGTTACAATGTTTCTTACTTCAAATCTTGGAAACTTTGCCTAAATATGTTTGTTCAATAATGTAGTTTGTGGACTCTGCAAGGATTCTAATGCCTTTTAAAAGTGTGACAAAACTTTTGAGTAAGTGTAAAGTTTGTCTTATTATTGTCAACATATGAAAAAATTTAATTCTCTTGTGGTACACCTGAGGGACAACACCCTTTGGGTATAATGTTTGTGTAAAGAGGTGGCTTCTTACCCATTCAACACATGATACAAGAGACAATGTCCTACTCCAGTTAAAGTCCATGCACCTATTGGTCATTACAAATGCTGAAGGTAGATAACTGAGATAATCTGCATCTCAAATTGTGGAAAATGAAACCTTCCAGATCACAAAAATGCCCATGGTAAAGTTAGAAAAGTTTTGACTCCGGAACCATACATCAGGTTAATATGTTATTACATGATGTTTTTTCCCATGAAAAAATTACACTAAGTATTCAGTAAAATTTATCAGAATGCTTCAGATTGCTTCAGTTTTCATGTGCCTAAGAAATACATGATGACTGCCACTTACTTTGTTCAACATTAAACTAAAAATGTAAGAAATCCTCCAACTAGTCTAGTAAGTTTTATTACACATACTCTTTAACTAAATTCTCTTTTAAAATTATTTGTGTGTATTGCTTGTTTGATTACTGCTTGTTATTCAAAACATAATGTGCTATTTTAATAACACTTGAATTATTTTTTTTACAGTTATCACATTTTATTACACCAGTACTAGCAAAGTATACAACTGAGGCTTATGTAATTCAAAGTCTTAATTACTTCAGCACTTAAAGAATTTTGCAGTGGTGTAAAATTTATACCATTTTGGTAATGCTTGTACATACCAGGCAATGCATAAATACAAATATTTAGCAATTACATATTTTCAGAAAAAGTCTCATTTCAGATAAAATAAAAATATTCTCATAAAACATAATTTGCAAGTTTGAACGTCACGTACCGAGTATCAGAGACTAAGCTCAGCGAATCTGATTTATTTTCCCCAGTCTTGAGTCACTGTACCAAAGAGCTTGCTCAGCACTGAAGCATTTATGTCAGTATTTGGTCAATGGATGTCTCATAGATCTGAGCTCTCATCTGTTAAAAGGTTCCCAATATTCCCTCACACTTCATTCACCATGTGTTACTGCTGGGTTTTTGTACTTTTATGCTTGTATCCACAATTATTCTGAAAAATCTACCTCCGGCATCCCACTATTCGTGATTGACCTCAGGAAGTGGAACACAGAGAACTATTTAAACTGTTAATTTCCATCTGTGTCTACCTGTTCTACGAATCAAGCAAGAAGTTCTTTTTTAACAGGTAGAAGTAAACAATTATTGTCCATTTCCTTCCTCCAGCTGGTGTTTTCATTTATGTTCAAAATGATTTCCACTAGAGCAAAATGGCTCTAGTTTTTACAAATGTCTTTAAGTTTAGGCAATCCAAGTGATTTTGATCAGTTTCTGTCATATGTGATGACATTCTTGTCAACAAGTATATGAGCAACAAATAGGAGGTCATGGAGGAGGGATTTGAGGAAGATGGGGAGACACACACACACACA